TATATAATTCCTGAAATTGTTTTTCTGGGATATCAAAAAGATCTTGAGTATCTCTTAAAATTTTATGCATAATACGTAAATTCTCGTTTCTTTCGTTTTGTTCCTCGTTAACTATCCACCATGCAGCAGCCATCGTAATTGATTAACTTATTATGAATATAGATATTATTTTTTACGGGAAATATTAATTCGCATGAAAGTTTTCACTTTTTCGCACTAAAATTTTCACTTTTTCGCTTTACGTGAAAATTTTCATTTTTTCACGAATTCACCCTAAGTGAAAAGATACATGATCGACCCCCATGAATCTTTTCCCCTAGTGTGAACTCGTGAAAAGTGAAAATTTTGTAATGAACTCGTGAAAGATGAAAACCTTCACTAAACTCGTAAAAAATGAAAGATTTAACGTGAATTTGTAAGTAAAACAAATATTACAATATATTCAAGACAACACCAATTTGCAATGGACATCTTTAGAATTTTTTCAGCATGTTTTTAAGACATAGTGATGTCTTTAGAATGTCCCTTGGAAGTCTGCTTGTCTGGGATTACTTTAGGATAAATTATTAAAAGATAAAATATTCTATTCATATTAAAATTATAAATCTGCAGAAAATATATATTTCATTTAAAATAATACATAAAATACATGCAATAAATACATAAAATAAACTTACATTTTACTTACTGCATACAATTTATAATATATTACACTTTAACTTTCTGATGTATACGTATCTTAACTTTGCAAACTTTGTCGGTATGCTTTCACTCCCTATACGTCATCACGCTTCAATTAACTTTCGGTTAGGCGACAGTTTCCCGAAAAGTGGAGGGGATAATGTTGGTACCAAGAGAAATCTCTACTCGATATAATTTAAAGATCTATTTTTTGTAACTGCATTGCTGAACTAATACAAGAGGTTAGAGTGAGAAAACGTATATTTGCCTCATTTCAATTTATTGCATCAATTTAGCAGTGCAGTTACAAAGAACAGAATCTTTAAATCATATTGTGTAGAGATTTTCCTTGGTACCAACATTATCCCATCCACTTTTCAGGAAACTGTCGCCTAACCCATCATGCTTCAATTGGCTTTCGTTGTTCGTTTTTAATGGACGTGGAATTCTTATGTCAAATGCCAATTGTCGTATAACCATAAAAATTAAAGTCACTATTCTACTCACAGAAATTCTACTCACTTTTTACATAAGGGTGCGTTCAGATTCCTCATCCGGGTTGCACTCTATTACTAGAAACACTATAGTATATGTGACATATACTATAGCACTTCTAGTAATAGAATACACCCGGGTGGGGAATCTGAACGCAGCCTAATATGCGAGTGTAGTATTACATTATTTTTCACATTTAAACCACATCGCTTGATGCTTAAAAATTTTCATGGAAACTTACACAATTTACACGTAAAGAAAAATATATACGAGCAAACTAAAAGTTTGCAATGCGAAACTATTTTCACAATACAAAAATGTATAGTTCATGTTACGTATACTGTAGATTTTCGCATGCGTATCTCATTCGCACACCGTCAAGAATCGGGCCCCTAGAACACAATACATCGTATGTTGGAGTTGGATGTGGAACGCAGCCGATGGTCCAATGAGAGAATTTATTTTTCGAGAATGAGTTCTCCTCATTGGACCATCGGCTGCATTCCGATATCCAACTTCGACATACGGCGAATTGTGTTTCAGGCTTGAATCTTGCATATCTCTCTCTGACCGTTTGCCCCTCTCTACCAGGAGGGGGTAGGCAGTGAGCTTTCCAGTATGGTTATAGTTCAATGCTACGATTCTTGTAGACCCTTAACTAGGTTCCTGAAGCTAGATATATAGAAAGAGAGAAGATTGGTCAATTGTAAACATATTTGAAATGGGATGCACGTGTATATGAAAATTTAACGGACGAATAAAAGTACTAACATATATTAGTGTATAAGCCACAGCTAAAAGGCGTACGAGAATCATAAGGAGGAAATTAAGGAGAAAATAGTAACGAGAGGGACAGAGAAAGAGATCGTTTATATCTGACAGCTATGATGAAAGTATATTCTTTCGACAAAAGTCTTCACGAGAGGTTTACAGAGTACACCGATATACTGATAAATCCAGACAAGATCTTACCCGCCTCTCAAGTTGAGTTGGAATGGATTTGCGACACGGAAATCGTTATAGAGCCAGCCGGCTGGCAGGCTCTTTGGAACGTACCACTTTCCGTGTGTGCACAAAATCAAGTTCATTATCCGTTGGTGGTTTTGGTGGAGGTGTTGTCGGTTGATTGTCCTACATTGTCCGCTTTAGTGAAAATCATGTGGGATGAGATGGATAGATATCTTACATTTCCTTCAGAGTGCAAAGTTAAATTAATCGAACTGTTTCCAACCATTGAACAAACCAATACTACTTTAGATATCGTTGGTACTGCACATTTAATAGACAAGTTACGATTTTTTTATACACATTTGTGGTTACCATGGGATAATGAGGAAGACGATAATGTCGATTGGGTGAGGCAACACTTGGAGAGTAGACTAAGATTTGCTTATGATATAAGGAGAGGGTTTATTGACAAACAAACTTGTGACCTGATCAGATCACTGGTGAGAGAAGCAAAACATATTTGGGAAAAAATGTCAAAATTGGAAAGTATAATAACAGGTGATAAAGATAAGACCGATCAATCCCAGACAGCACCACTTGAATATATGAATCTTCACCTCCGGCTTCAGCAAATTAAATCAGAAATGGATATATTAGAGAATGACAAAGTGAGAGAGATGGTTGTGAAGCATCATAATGTTGTAGATAAAAATACAATGAGCAAAGATGAAAAAATAACATGCTACTTTGTATGGCTGGATGGTACGTTAAGAGAACTACAGGAGACTTGTGATAGAGTTAAAAAAATGTTACCTAATGAGTCACTTATCAAGTAAGTTCATCATATTCTTTCTTAAATAACTTTAAATGTATCATAGTTTATAAATTGTTACTTTTACTTTCAGAATTTCTGGATATTTGGATGATGTTTTACACTCGTGTAAAACAGGTGATATGGTTATACTAGGTGAAGGAAAACATATTATCAAAGGTGCTGGTGAATTAGAAACAGGTGGCACAATTAGAGGAATATACAATACTAGAGATACTATCCTTCATCCAAAAGAATTCAGTAGTGCGTCAACTTTACTTGATTTTTCTCACAATTTTACTGAGGTATTACATATGTCACAGCTACAAAATTTAGAATTTTCTGTAAAATTTGCATAGTTCAATTAACTCTGTATATCTATATGTATAATAGGTTCTACTGGAGAATATCTGCATAAGTTTAGGGGAACTTCCAATAGGCATAATTGTCAGAAGTGGACTTGTAAAGATAAAACATTGTGTAATATCTAATCTGACCTCAAAAGAAAAAACTGTTCAAACAGGTATAGTTGTTATGCCGGATGCGAGATTAGTAATTGAGGACACGCATTTCGAGTTTTTAGGAACTGCCGTGCTTATTTGTGCAAATGGCGAGGCTGTCATGAATAACTGTGAGATCCTTTCGTGTTATGTGGGTGTACAGGTACAGTCACTTTGTGCATAACTCGTATAATTTTGAACAATTTTGTTCAAAATATTTCTGATGAACGTAAATCTTTTTTTTTCAGCTTAGTGATGATTCTAGTCTTATCGCGAACAAATGTGTTTTCGACAGTTGTCGTGAACATGCCATACGAATGGAAACTGATAGAAACATACCTGATGAAGCAAGACATTTTCAATTTAATGAGCAGCCAAATACCATATCAGAAATTATATTAAATGAATGTCATTGTGTCCAATCAGATTTCGAGGATATCGTTTTAAAATCGAAACGCATCACACCTGTGGCAGAGTGGTTAGATGTTAATCCAAAAATATAAAACTTGTATTATTTTTTACTGTATATTGTTCTTAGTTTAGTACAGGAATATTAGTTTAGGGAAATGGTTAAGAGAATGGCGCTCGAAACGTTTTTTTTTGTTTTTTACACAAAACTATATTAGCATAAAATTGGCGTTAGAACTGATCTCTGCGTATTTTGGATCATTCAATGTTCGTAAAATAAATGAATCGTATTTTGCGGGTTCACGCGATATACCTCGCAATCATGAAATTTCGAGGTTATTGATCGTTGAAGTGTTGAGTCAGTTGTGAATAGCTGCGCGACGAATCGAGCTCATGTGTCATTTAGTGTTTTCGCGACTTCAACTCGCAAGGTAAGCCTTGCGCACAAATTATTGTTGTCGAGAGCATCAAAAAGATGAGTACCCCATGTTCGTTATGATGAAATATTAAACAGTCGCTGTTATATATGTAATGGAAAGCCAATATCACGCGTAACAATACATCGGGTGTGCCGAATATTACCGCGTAATGGTTCAAATCGTCAGATCGATGCATCTTCTCAGGCATACATTATTTAGAAACGTTTCTAAAACGAACGGTTAGGAAACTTATGTAAAACCAACATGTGTTATCAGAGTTTTTCAAGAAACTTATCATCAGGATAACGAGTGCAATTCATTTGTTTGTCGCATTACGACAGTTTAGAGTTTGAATCATTGTATTTTATTTAATTAATTGAAGAAAAATTTGTCACAGGCATTGCCATACGAAATTTAAGGCTGTATGTAAGAGAAATTTAATTTATATATTATATACGCCAGAGAGAGAGAGAGAGAGAGAGAGGGGGGGGAGAGAGAGAGAGAGAGAGAGAGAGAGACTTAAACCCAATTTGTAGTAGGATCTTGATAATTAATGGCAATTACGTTGAAACAATTTCGGTGTGATACGTGACACGCGATATCTAGCGAGCAAGCTGCTTTTCTGGAAGAGTTGCGTTCATTGGATATCACGTGTCGCGATTGCGCTGTCTAGTAGCAAAAAGTCGCGATCCATTGGCGCTGTTAACGTTTTGAAACGCCGTAAAGACCAATCGTGGCTTTTCTTTAAGCGCTTCAAAGCATTTGCAGCATCTAATGAATCGCACCCAAGGTGTCGCGCGCATTCGCCATGAACAGCAGCTCAAAGTTCAAATTGTGGGATCGCCATGTACTTAACGTTCTCTACCCGTCGAAAAAGACACGCGTCGTGAGTTGTGATCAGGAATATCGAGAGCAGCGTCGCTCGTTCGCCGAGCAGCAGTTTGGAAGTTAAATAGCCGCTCTCGCAAGTCATCGAAGAAAACTTAGTTAATTGATAAATGACGCAATCATTATTGTAACAATTGTCTAATATATTTAGATTCTTATTCTGAATTTGCTTTTATTGACAAAAATATCTTAAAAAAAAGTGATTTTTAGCCAATCAGAAGGCTTATACAAGTCATATTAGAAGGCATTTTTACCGACAAAGGAAAGCTCAGAATAAGGATCTTATAGATCTTACATATTTCAATGTAATTTTTAAATAGGACCTAGATAATCTCTAACTGTGTGACTGTGTTTAAATAGTTGTTAATTAAGGTAATAATCCAAATTATAGGTTGAATACCAATTTCTTCATACAGCACAAATGTCCAAAAACATCCTAATGATGTCTCAGAGACACATCTTCGGAATGTCTCTGGGATGTATTTTGGACACTTATGCTGTATGGGTCAGTTCAAACTTGATTTATTGATACAATTTAAAAAATATATTAAGTGAAAGTAATTAAAACAGACTTAATAAAAACACAGACTTTTTATATTATTTAATTCTTTTACAATTTTTTATATTCCTAAATTACATTCGTAAATATTATTAATATTTAAGAGAAAAATGTAAGATATCGGTTGATTTACCGATTTTTTAAGTTGATGAAACTACTAGTACATTGTACTATGTATACCATAATTTTACATAAACCATGTGAATTTTAGATATTGTAAATATAAAATAGAAAGTATCGTATAACCCATCCTAGATAGCAGTTAAGAAATAATTCATTTGTGACACCAATTCTGAGTTCACTTTCAAATGCAAAAGGAATTCTTTTAATAAAAAGCATTCCTTTTGCATCTCAAAATAAACTCAGAATTGGTGATATACAAATGAATATACAAATAAATTTTTTTTTAACTCTCTGTGCTGTTTGGGATTATATAGGCGTGTAATATTTGCTGACATTTAACGAGAAACTTATGCATAAAAAAAATGTTTTAAATTATTTTCTATAATGTGGAATGAACTAATTTAAGCTTTAATAATTTTGTTTTAAAATAATGTTAGTCACTTATATTAGTATCAATCTTTTTATCAAGTTGCATCCCAAAATGCTTCTTTTGAAGAAAATTTTGCTGAAAATCTATAGCTCACTATTCATATCCTATGAATTTTCAGGTAAATTTTCCTCGAAAAGAACATTTTGCAATGCGCAACCTATGGTCTGTTCTTTTCAGCTGCACTGCTAAATTGGTGCAATAAGTTAAAGTGAGACAAGTATATTTTTTCTCACTGTACTTATTGCACCAGTTCAGCAGTGCAGCTGAAAAGAACAGACCACTATATCGGGAAAATATCGACACTATTCAAGCGCGATTACTCAGTTATTAGTTGTCACTACAGATGGCGAGACCGTTACGACTCATCGGTTTAGTGCTCGCTGATGTTTTCACAGTGCGCGGCGTGATGGAATATATCGGATAGAGTGTGTTCGATGACAATTTCGAGATTGTCAACTTTGGTAAGATCCTGTCGTGTTTGTCGCGAGCTGCATATTACGTTCGTGTCAACGCGTTTGCACCAGTTCGTCGAGCGTCTCGATTTCATGATAATCAGTGCGTGCATCAAGTTGCCCCCTAACCTCATCCGCATCCTCTTAGGCCGGTCACTTTGGCTCAGCAGCGTGAAATGTGCGTAATTTTTATCGAGCAAGTTTTCGAAATACAGGCGATTGCCGAGTTGTATAAGCCGATTTGACGAGCATATGCGACGTTTTCGTCACCAGCCGCGAACTTAACCTAACTTAACCTCGCAGACGTCTCTTCCTCCGAAGAGCTGTCCGAGAGCTGTTCGTTCGTGTCGTCGCGGAAAAGCTTGCATAGGCGCGGTACAAGTGACGTGATACATCATGAACACGTCGTTATTATCGTGCTAATTTCCCAATTCCGTAATTGCCAGCCGCAACTTTTCACACTGCTTTCATTCTTCTGTTCCGCCTTGCCGCGGTATCATGTGATTCCACGTCACACGTGCGCTTCCACGTAATGAATGAATGAAACAACAATGCGTTGTTCGGCGAACTCGTTCCTGTGAGCTTATCTTCGCGAGTTGGTGAGCTCATCCCATCGATCGATCGATCGAGCGCTCGTCCCGTCGTTGTTCGTCCCGCCGAAATGATTAATCGCGCATTTTCCGTCGTCGGGCGAGATAAAACGTCACGCTTTGATATTGAGGCTTAGTGATTAATCACGGCGGTTGATCAGAAGGAAGGGAAGGCGGGTTGAGGAGGCGACCTTTTGCCGTTGGCAGTGTGCTAAACGCGCCGCATGAGCCGTGATGTATCGTGCGTTACGTACGGACGTGATGCATATTCATGATGTAAAGGCATTTCATGGACGGTGCGGCAAAAACGACGAGAATCTCACAGACGCAATTTTGGATACGGCCGAAACGGGTTTCAATGACGCGTCTCTGTTATGTTTGCAACATGATGCCATCCAATTTGGATTTATCCAATTTAAAATCTGTGTTCTTTTTTTTCTTTTTTTTTCCTCCTTTTTCTCGTCGAATATATTTGATGTCACGTAGATTGACTTGACTGAGATTCTGTTGAGAGAATAAATGTATTTTGTAAATTTAGCAGAATAAATGTAGTGCAGACACACTCATTGTTACGATACAGAAACGAAACTGTTTTTGCAAGCACGTTTATTACCTCATTCAACCAGTTCTCTATTGCTTCGTGCGACTCTCTAGATATACATTCGGTTCTATTGCATACGTACAGCGGAGCGTTTTTGCCGAGCCTCCCGTCTTTTTTGGGGCGACGCTAAAAACCGCAAAGTGCTTTGCCCAATGTACCGCGAATGAAATGAAATATTTTCCGCCACAAAAAACACACCATCACATTTTTCGACGTGTGGCTCCTTTCTCGCGCGTTCCCAAAAAGGGCGCACGAGCCACTGTTTTCATCCGTTGTACACATTGTCTCGCGTAACACCGTTTGACGTTCAGAATGTCAACAGTAGGATAATACGTGGAAAAGTCCACAAAAGCGTACATTGCTATAGAGACACTCGTTTACTTTTTCAGTTTTCTACGCGTGCAGATTGCAGAAGCCGCTTGGACGACTCGCAAGTGACACGTGCGACTGTTCCGGGATCGTCAAAGACAAGTGGATGCGTACGTCGTCGTCGTCGTCGTCGTCGTCTTCTTCTTCCTCTTCTTCTTCGTCGTCGTTAACAGACATGTCCCCTAGCATGGTGGAAACGGCCGCACCGACGCAGCCTGTCGATGGACAAACGCAGTTCGGCAATGCGCGTCGTCTCGACCCGTCGGACTCCATCTTCGTCTTCAAGAACACACTGTCGGATTACGAAGAGCCGCCGTCGGACGAGGAGGTGAGTCCTAGCATCTCAAATTTGCATTGCATTCATTTTTCATTAAGCCTCCGTCTGAGTCGAAATTTTTATCCTACTTTCGACCTCAGCGTTTCATTTAACGTCTAGTTTGATATTCTAAAGCCCGTATAAATCTCTTTTGATTCTATTTAACTTTGCTGCTGGTGGTTTTCTGTAGAACCTGTAAGAAGTGTACTGGGAAAAAATTGCTTAAAAATGTATTTGTAGGACATAAAGTTTGTTCACAGAAATTCTGTTATTTAGAAGCACTGTATATATAAATAAGAGGTAAAATGCCCGGATACGTATTTAATCCTAGACGTTCTTATTATCTTATTGTTTTAGTTTTTAAACGCAAAGAGAAAAAAATATTTAAGAAGCAAAAAGAAAAGACCTTGTGTGTACTGCTCTCTTTTTCACATCATAACGTTCATTTATGCTCCTTGTTACAACATTCAAATTTGACATTATGTGACGGGTAATACGAGAAAAATTGAAGTGTTGTCTGTAGTTTGAATATTCGTGGAGTATATTGTCGCGATTGTCTATAGGAGAAATGCTGTACAGATGAAATTATGTACGTTCGTAAATGGAAATCATATTCTGTTTTCTTGAATTATAACATGTGACGTAACATATTTAGCAAATAATAGCTAGTGTGTGTGTGTGTGTGTGTGTGTGTGTGTGTGTGTGCTGCGCGCACGTGCGCGCGCGTCCGAGCACATACATGTCAACGATTGTCGTGGGATTGAAGAAGCCTTCGACTGGCTTTGGGTCGATGTCGGTCGCCGTTACAAAACGAGGAGCGATAAAAGTACGAGGGACGATTTTAAAGCACGACTTTACGGTCGATCACATGGCGGCGAATTAAATTATTCCGCTCCACATTTTTCTTTCAGTCGCAAGGGACTCGCGCGTTCTTCTCCTTCTCTTTCTTTTTCTCTCTCTCTATATATACGTATACATATCTTTTTTAACGCGACAAAGTCCACGACGCAGACGCTTTAATACCTGATTGCATCCCGTTCCGCAAACCGTTGCAAGCCGTTTCAAAGAGTTTTGATAAAATACACACTATTAAAAGAGTCACAATAATTTGTTTCTCTGGAATATGTCAACATCGCGGTCGAATTATCACCGCGATAAATGGCTTGCTCTCTCGCGGTATATACAAACGATTAAATCGTAATATAATACCTACTACTCGCGCGAAATAGAGATAGAAGCAAAATTTGCATTACATATTAATCGCATTTTGCAGTGTAAATTTGAACTATGTCCATTCGACGTTAAATCCGCAGCGATGTGTGCCGTCGAGAAACCTTTTTTATCCCATTAATTTTTTTCTTTCCTTCGAGAGCACCAACGTCGTGCTCGAACTGCGCGCGAGATCCTGCGAATCACCTCATTATGACGTCTCGATCGCGAGTGCGTAATGCGTACATTCCGGCGGGCTGCATTCTCACTGTACTTGCGGACATATCTGTAGCGTGTTTCGGTACTTGTTACATCGCGTGTCGTTCGTTCGCGAGCTCCGTCGCCCGTGCGCGGCGCGGCCGATAACGCCGAGATAAAACCTTGCAAACGGGACGCGTACAATGCGTCGCGCGGCGGTACTTCCGAAAATATCCCGCTCGAGTTGCGAGTTGCGAGTTGCAAAAAGCAAAAATAGCCATCCGAGATAGCGGTCTACGGCGCGCGTGGGAAGCGAGTGCAAGCCGATAAGAATAGTCGGACTGCATTGTGCAGCCGCGTGAGCCAGTGTAACTGCTTCAGGTATACGTGAAAATTACACACACACACACACACACACACACACACACGCATATATTGCGCAGGAGAGGTCGGTCGCAGCGACGATGTTGGCCTTGTTCGTCGGCGAACTTTGGCTCAAGATTTTCTTCCGTAGTGTCCATGCTCGTAACGGTGGCCACTCCTTATTACGAAGAGCGATATCGCGCGCTTTAACGAGCCGATAACAGAGGATCAACGGACAATTAGTAATTCGGAAGGTGTAGTAGGGATCAGGGGAGAAAAACGCGCAGAATTACATCGTGAAAGAGCGTCGAAGAACGAGGTAGGGATATGACGTCGAGAGGGCGAAACGAACAGAGAGAACCGAGTGGAAGACGGAGGGAGATGTATAGCGGGGA